AAAAAATTAAAGTTAAAAATAAGAAAAAATTATAACTAACAAGAGAAATAAAAATATAAAAAAATATTATAGCCACAAACTCAATCAAAAACGTTTTTATTTTTTCACTTTTTTTTTGGTCGTTGCGCGCTTAACGGCCTCACAAAGTTACAAAATCACTTCGTTTATGGTAACATGTAATGCAATAACGAAAACAACTTACCACAAAATGTTGCACTTGCATATTTGCACGCGCCAAGTATTACTCCAATTCCGCTGTTGGTTATTTAAAATTATTTGTTGTTGTAATTTGCGGTTTGCAACGTGCTTAACTACTTCTTTTTTTAATTATTAAACTTTAATTTGTGTTCAAAGTAAGCACTTCCGGTTCTAATGCGCAGACGCACACCAACACACACACTACACAAACACAAAGGCAAAGTGTATATTTTTATAGCGTTTTTTGATATTCTCACTTGCTTTGTCTTTCACTTCTTGCTTTTGCGCAAATTCGCAGCAGTTTCTTTGCGGCTGGGCGTTTACTGACGGGCTAGTGGTGTTGATAACCGTTTCGTTGAAACTCGCTTGTCAAATGCTTTATGCCACACGCTTCCATTTCGTTTTTATACCGAACGCTGGGCTTATGGCTTCTGTTGACGCAGCAAAAACAACAATTGTAACGGCTTTTAATGTAGCGCGGAAGGAGAAACAATCAAATCAGCAGCTGTTTTATGCGCACAAACACACAAACAAGCAAATACATGTATAGATATACATATATATGTATATATATATATATAAATAGTTGCTTGGAAGTGAGCTTTTTGTACGCCTTAGACTGGAAAGTGGTCTAAAAGCTTCGCTTTGAAGCGTGTGCATGTGCGCAGGAAGTGCTTCGCGGGCTTCCGGTGGAAGTGCGCTTGTTGGTAGCACACAAAAACATATTTATTTTAATAAAAGTGTTTCAGAAAAAAGTTTTATAACATTTTTTAAACACTTTGCAAAAGTAAAATTAGCAGAAGTTGGAATAATGGCGCTTAATAAAAACAATTTATTGAGCTATAACTCATAGTAATCGCCTGCTCGCATTGTCATTCCGTTAAGCATACGCACGTCTGTCGAATGTATCACATCACGATATTGTACAGTTAATTGCTGCGCACCATTTGTTTTCGTCAATGAGCAATAAATTTCGTTTGTGCTTTGCATACGCAAATCATTTGCTGCGCCTGTGTGTATATACAAATGCTTGATTGTTGTTGTATGCCAAAAAAAAAAAAACATTTTTTTGTCTCTTCGAATTCGGTCAAATCTTTTATAACTTTGCGCCACACACCAAAAATTTGTTTGGTTTAGCGCATGCGTGACGCCCATCCAACATTGTCTTTTAACAATCGAAACAGTCCAGTCTTCCAGCAACAACTGCTATCCGCACACTTCCGAAGTATTATGTCACGAACTTGAAAAAAGTTTTCAAAAATATTGAAACACCGTTTTAAATAGGAATGAGGGAGGATTTGAAACCAAAATCACTACGTACTATATAACCAAAACCGTTAAAAACAAAAAAAAGAAAAAGAAAAAAAAATCTCTAATATACGTGATAAACATACACACTAACACTAAGACTGATTTCGATAATGAGTGACTTGGTTTTAAATGAGTTCAGCTCCTCTTCTTTCACTTTACTTCATAAGCGTAAATCCAAGGAAAAAACCGTTCATTCATTTTTTTAAATTTCGGGTGTTGCATAAGCCAGTGATTACTTACATTCCTCACGTAGTAACAATAAATGCAACTCTGCTCATTTCTATATTCATTTGACGGAAACGGTGTTTTTAGGTAAGCTTTGACATCATAAAAGATCAGAGGTATGTTTTGTTGTCTCAGAATTTATATGACCTTATAAAGGACGCAACATCTTTTAGTTGGAAACATTGAATAAGTTTCTCATTCAGGGGGACACCTAACAGGTATAAAAGTCCCCAGCTTACCATCGTAAGACACATTTTTTAAGAAAAATTCGCTATGTTTGTTCAACATGGTGCTCTTCAAGAGTTATACACTGATTATAGATCCCCTCAAATTTATCGATACCAGTTTCGTAGCACAATTTGTGCTTTGCCTCAAAATACGATTTAGTTTCGGTAATGACCTCTGCATTCGATGAAAATTTCTTCCTAGCGAGTGTTCTTTTTAGGAAATAATCACTGGGGCCAAATATGGAGTATATGGGGGATACGGAAGCGATTCGAATTCATGTATTTGTGCCATTGTTTGCACTGACTTGTGAAACGGTGCAATGGCTTGGTGAAACAGCACTTTCTTTTTATCACAAATATGGCCGTGTTTTTAGATTTTGTTCTTCAAACGGTCCAATAACATTAAGTAATAGTCACTCTTGACTTTCCTTGCTTTTTCCAGGCAGTCATACTCATTCGGATGACTGTCAATTGGACTTCGGAGTGAAACAATGTAACCGTGTTCCCATGCAAGAACTCGGGTTTATTACATTTGAACATCTCCAATCACTGCTCCGAATCATCAATTCGTTGTCGTGAACGATATGATGTACGTGTTCAATTGATATCTTTAGAGTGCCTGCAAAAATAGTGTAAAATTTCGAAAAAATGATATCATTCATATTTCGATAGAGTTGTGTAAGATATGAATCTTCATCTGCAAATAATATTTCTTCACTGGTGTTAAATAAGTCGAAATAGAAAATTATTTGCGTTCTTGGTGACTTTAACTAAACAATATTGTCTGGTCCGGTCGCACTTATAGTCCTGCCCTTATTCCTTTTAATGTTTCATTTTTTCACCAGTTATATTTTATTGATATAATGCTTAGTCTCCATCTGATTCAAATTAACGCCTATTAAAATAGTCTTGATCGATTTCTTGATCTTTTGCATGATGTATTTTTTGGATTAGATGCTGATAATAGTTTTTTTTTTCATTTTTAAGAAATCCATTCAATAATTTTGTCGTTTGCTGAATTCTTCAAATCATATTATGCACATGATGAGCTTGGAACTACCTTTACTGAATATATATAAAAAAATGTTCTTCCTTTGTTGTTCCTTTGTTTGTTTATCCTTAAATATGTTAGAAAGGGTGTAGTTAGAATTACAATTACATACAGTGATTATTGCATGTTTGTCATCTCCGCTGGATTTATACAGATTTCTCCAAAGCCTTTGATACAGTTTCACACAAAATTTTTATTAAAGAATTATCCTCTTTAGGTTTTCATTCTGTCTTCTTGAAGTACAAGTAGATGAAGTCATATTTGCGCAATATATATTGCGTTGTTATTGTCGATAGGGTATCGTCGGATTTTTGCATTGCGTCATCGAGAGTGCCACTAAAAAGCGTTTTGGGTCCTCTTCTCCTTGTGCAGTTTATCAACGATTCTGTTGTTTCTCTTTTCCTAATTTTTTGCTAAATGCAGATGACTTAAAATTATTGTCGTATTGATAGTTTCTATGATTAGTGATTGAAATTACAGATTTCTCTGAATTGGAATAAATGTTCTCAAATCTCGTATGCGAGGGGTCGTAGCATCTTACCTTCTAGTTACAATATTTGAAATTGCGCCCTAAAATGTTCTTTAATAATATATTTTCTTTCAGTAATCACATCAATTATATAACTTTTAAATTTTTCTGTGCTTTGCTTTAACCGTCGAAATGATTCCAAATTTTCCGACCCCTAAACATTAAAAATATTATTTACATATTTAGTTCGTTCTATGACAAAGTTAAAATAAGACTTTCCTATCTAAACCAGATTAGATCTCCGAAATAACAACTCTTGGCCGGTTAAAATCCGGGTCAATTCCGAGATCGGAGAACCGGCTGTTGTGGTAATTGTTTGTTCGTTTTATCTGTGTTCATCTGAAGATCATAATCTTTATACTCAATTAATAGGATTGTTCTTTTGTGTTCATCTGGATACCATATTTTTTACACTCAATTAATAGGATTGCTCTGCACTCCTTTAAGTTTGTTGACCCTATACTGTCTTATGAATCTCGTTATTAACACACCTAAAATGATCTGAAAATCGACGGTCCATTATCTGCCTTTCACTTCCTTTCGATGTTTCTAAAAGAAGTATTGTCTTCCTTATTTGTTAGGTAAGATTAATTTCAATATTCATCAGCATTGCCTCTGATGTATTTCTAAATTCGCAGATTAAACCTCTCCCAAGCGTGCTGTGTTAACACCATTTCTGAGAAAGTTCTACTTGATTGAATTAATGTTGTTGGACTTGAGGAATTAAATAAATAAAACAAAATCTTAGAGAATATCAGGTATCCCGTTATATTGCAGATAAAATAAAACCTTACATACAAATTAAAGCAAGGCAAGACCTTAATTATTATAACAGTTTCAACTGCAATTCAAACATTGAACTTACATTTTTAAAAGGCTTGAGAAGCGCAATCAATATTTTCAAAAAAAATTTATGTACTACAAAAATTTTTGCTTTAGAGTTTTAAATTACTAATAATCTGCTTTTAATTATACCTTGAACTCGTCTTGTTTGCTGGAGTCTATTTCTAACTGAATTAATAATTTCTGGAGACAATTGCACTAATCAAGCGCTAGTTAAAATATATTTAATAACTTTTTTTTGATTATTTATTTGTTTCGATGTTATGAAGAATTGTTTATACATTTAAAACCCATATAAGTGCGATTCATAGGTATAAACTTAACTTAATTGAACATAACCAAGCTTTAGTAAATATGTATATTTGCATGAAGCTCAAAGCTTTCTTCTTCGGCTTTGTGTTTTATTTACTCGGAAGCATGTGAGCTTTTTTCAAAGCTTTTATCGTGAGTTTTGGTGGTGATTGTAACAGATAGAGAGCTTTGCATATTGAGACGACAGTTAAAAGCTTAGTAAAACTTAATTACTTTTTTGGAAATTTGAAATTTCCACAAAAAAAAGTTAATTTATAGTAAAAATGCATACATAAAAAAATACCTCACACTTTTGTTAGAGTAATTTTAATAACTAAGTGATGAAAAATGTACTCAAGTGACAGCGGTGCCAAGGTTTCTTCCATAAAAAAAGTTTTTTTTGGTAGTAAAAATATAAATGCGGCTTCCAATTAGATATGTTTTAAGTGAGGCAAGAAACATTAACATTGTTTGTGTTGGTAATAATAAAATACTTACATCCTAAACCATTATTTTCATTTACTTTTCTGTTATTTACTTTTAACTACATGCGTATACATTTTGTATACCCTTTATTACATATTTTTGCACTTCCTCTCTAAAACTATTGTGGACATTTTTTTTTATAAATTTTTCACATCTCCAAACTGCCCAATAGTTACTTTTATCACAGTTCAGACAGCTTCGAAATGTTGGCCAATGCGGTCTGATCGTCTAATATTACGTATATTTTATGTTGTTCTTGGCTTTTCTTTGAAATTTATGAGAAGAAATTGACCAAGCGTCCGATTCTCTCTAGTTGCCCTTTACTAATGCATACTTTAGCATATCTCTAGTGTTCAATGTCCTTCATAAGGAATAACGCAATAGCGCCAATAATTCCACACACACCCATTATGCTCATTGGCAGCAGTGGGTCCACGTGTTCCTGCAAGGACCAAGAAAAAGAAAAGAAACAAAATTGTATAAAATCAAATTGCTTTAAAGAAAAATTCTAAAATATAATGTATTAAGACGGTATAAAATATTTTGAACTTTGTAACCCTTATCGATAATGAGGTTGAGGTTTTCGACGTTATATTCATAGGCCATCGTCTCGTCACTTTGTCTTATAAAGAACGCACAGAAAAAGCCCGAATGATGTTTAATAACCATGGACCAAAAAATAGGAGAAGACTCCTGGCTGAAGTGCTGAGGACCGTGAACGATAGAAGAAATTCCTCCGTGTACGTATTTTTTTGGTAAGAATTCAATCTGATCATCCCTCGTTTCCAATTGCTAAACGTTAAAACCTATTGCACTCTGTCGGCTGTCCAAGTTCAGGAAGTTTTGACAGAAGGTTTAAATTGCCCTCTCACTTCCAAGCTGGGCATCTCTTTATTTCTGCTTCTGCCCTTGTAATCGTAGGCTTATAGCATTACATATATTAGCTCAAAGAGTTTAAGATGCCTGAGAGGAATTTACCACACAGAAATATAAAAGAAAATTTTCCAGCAAAGATGGTGATGAGTTAACAAAAACGGCGCCAAGTCAGTCGAAAGGGGCCATGGACGTTCCGATTAATTCCCAGCATGGAGTTATGGCTAAAAAGTATCCACCGCGAAGAAGATTTTTACTTACTATGACACAATGAGCATGTAGAGCATACGTAATTCCATTGTTCGGAATATGATCATGAGAGACGATATTGAACACTTCAATTCGATTCAATTCCTATCACAGCCAATTCTACGTACGGAATCGACCCGGATTTTATCCGCCCAAGGGCTGTTTATCGAAAATCAAGTTTCGTGTGAGGATGGATCCATGTGTAGAAATTCACGTAAGTGAGGAGACTTTCTCTAAGCGCCATTTACTTCTTCTCCCAAGTGACCCCGAAAAAGAATTGTTTCTGAGCGAGGAAAGTTCTCTGAGCGCCATTCACTTGGGAGTAGAAGTAAATTCCTCACTCAGAAACAATTATTTTACGTAATAGTCAAGCAGCTCATGACTTCCGGTCTTAGAGCAAGTATCCAAAGAACAGCCGTTTGAATGCGAAACATCCCCTCCCCAGGGATGAGCGCTCGATTTTGGACACCGGATGTAAAAAAACGCTAACAATGAAAAGAAAAAAACAGCCTCGGCATGTTGTAAACTCGGCTCTAACCGCGTAAGCGGTGTCTACGCCAATAAGGAAGAAGAAGAACTCGTGGGAACTAGATAACTGTTACAATAACAACAAAATCAACAATATACGTTAAGAGTGCAAAACGGTAAGTAAATGCAACTTGTAACTCCAAAAAAAAAAAAAAAAAAAAACCGTCTCGTCAGCATCAATGATGCATTTGATGAATGTAGGGTCCTGAACTATATTATCAATCATGTCTTTTGCGACCTCTACTCCATTTCAAATGAACCAAGCTATTATACTTCGTGCAACATTTTAAGAGAGTATAAATAAGAGTATGTCTTCTATAAAACCTAGTTATACTCACCAACAGCCACATATAGGGTACTAACATTAAGGCAGTTCCCGCTGCCAGATTACCCATGCCCACACCAAAATTACGCACAACCGTTGGATACTGCATGGCGGTGTACGATGGAATAATGGCATTGTTGGCGCCAATAATACATTTTGCTGTAAAAGATAAATATTTATGTATATATGTATATTTGAATAATTTGTATAGTTTGCTCCCAAACATAACTCACCAATTATTGCCATCGCGACCACGGCAGTTTGGTTTAAATCTCGGGTTGGCACAAGATTTGTAGCTAAGCAACAAATTCCGGGTACTAGCATATATGCTATCAGGCTACATCGCAAACCCACTTTCAAGACTACAAAAATGCTGACACAAACAGTGACTGCTTCAATTGCGCCGGCAACGATCTGAGATACAAAAATATAAATAAATAAAAATATAAAAATAAATTTAAAAAAAAAATTATTTTGATTCCTTAAGAAGAAAACCCTCTAATGCAATTCCTTCAAAAACATAGCAAAGACTTATGTATTTCATAACTCCGATGCCTCGGCAAGGTCGGAGGTACAAAACGCCTTCTCAGCGCATACCCTCTCTGCGAAAGAAGACCAACTCTTTCCGGAGTACTCGTAAGATAAAAAATTTAGACAGAAAACAAACAAAAATAACAAGTGTGATAAACCCTAACGGAGTTTGCCAAAGACATTCTCCTCGCCTCCAGTCAGGAGATGATTAGCAGTGTACCCGAATGTACCAGTCGTAGTACACCGGAGAACACAGCAGAGAATACGGTTGCCCAGAAGAGCAAACGGTCGCAGAATGAAGCGAAAGGAACATGGTCAACAAGTCCACGAACCGCGGTCACTAAAATCAGCGAGGCCTTTGAAGGCCTCAAATTTGATCTTATATTCGCCAAAGATATATCAAAAAAATTTCGTGCTCGCAATTGTCTGCCCCTTTCGGGGGAGCTAGGCGAAAAGCTCCTGAGATAAATCCAAATTAAAAGAGATAGCAAGATTATAGAGGTCCCAGGAGACTGCATCAAAATGGCGCACTCAGTGCTAATTTTTGAAAGCAAAATGTTTAATTGCTACCTCAACGAATTTGCTTATTGTCATAGAACACTTAATAAAAACTTTCTAATTAATAAAATTTCTCGCAACACACATACTTATTCGCAATTCCTTTAATTGCCCGGTCTCCTACTCACCGTATTCAAATAGATATCACCACCCAAATTGCTCAAATGCAAGGTCAATCCATAGTAGACGATAATCAAAGTCAACCAGACAATCAAATTCAGACAAGTTGTGCGCCAATAAAAACGATTAAAGACCACCTTTAATGGATTCTCGTGAATATCGGGTACAGCTTCGGTAGTGTCGGCGATTGCCGCTTCAATGGTATGACCCCCTCTTTCAGACGTCGTCATAAATGCTGGCAGTGTGTGTTGTTGTTGTGCTTGTATGTTCGTCAGCTGACTTTTGACCATAGTTGATGCATTGATGGGCTTGAGTATTGGTGTCGGTGCTGCAGCTTCAAGTGTCTTCTTATAGTTTGGCGGCAGTGTGCGCTGATTGAGCTCGGCAGCACGTTCTACTAGCGCATATAAATCATTGAGACGCCCTTGTGCAAGTAGCCAGCGCGGCGACTCTGGCATGCAGTACCTGGCATGTGGGAGAAATAGAAAATTGAATGATTAAATGTGGAAGAATAGATGTGGGAGTACATAAGTACATACATATATTTGGTAGTAATATGGAGAAATAAATGGAAAGGAAATCACTTAATCAGGTGATGTAACACCGATATCCAAAGTTATGTAACTAAGTCTTCGCCACAAAACTTGATAAAAAAAAACACATGTAATATACTAAGATGAGGTTATTCTTCTTGTATTATGATTGAATAGTGTTAAGTTAAGTTAAACATGTGAATACAACCGATTTTGCGATTATTGATTCAAATTTACGTTATTTCTTGGTTGTGTTGAAATACCAGAAAAAAAATATAGCTCTTTTCTCTCCCTTGATTACAAAACTAGGGACTCGCAAACTATTCAAATATTTTCTTGAAAAATATTGAGCAAATTTCTCATCCCTCATAGAAATTGTATATCACCCTTCTTCTCTACGCCACTCTAATAAGCGATTGTAAGTACTGCTCTAGCTCAACTTTTCCGAAAAAATATATGAGTATATACTCTATATCCGGCATTCAAAAGCAAACAACAACAACAGCAATAACCAATTGAATCAGTTTATCATTTGATTTGATGATAGTTAAGAGAGCGCAGCCAAAAGCCCTCAATTTACTCACACATACGTACATGAACATATGTTCATATCTTAAAAAAAAATCAGGCATATGAAAGCATTTAAAGGGGTTTCATGAGTCGATAGCACCAAAAGACGCGAACAAAGCATAAAATGATAATCCAAATAAGCAGATACACCGCAAACAAATTATTTAGACATTCTTAAATACATATGTATCCTTATAAGCAATCAAATCTTTGCGGGAAATTCTTGCACTCATGTGAAAACAGTCAAATAAAATAGAACAAGTACGGAAGGGCTATGTTCGGGTGTAACCAAACATTTCATCTCTTTGAAGTTGCAAGAATCAAAGGTAATTCTTCGACTTCATAGCAAAAAAATGTTGTGAACGAATTAAAAATCGTGAAGTCGTGAATAAATTTCAAACAAATTTGTTATATAGTATTATTGATTTATATTGAAGACCATAAACTTAGATTAGGTTTTTTTGCTTTATTCTTAGTTCGAGAAAGTTAAAATTATGTTAAAAACCTCTTTAAGTGTGTGGAAACGTCAACCAGAAGATCACAATTCATTAAATGTGGGTTCGACCAATTCTAATCTAACAAAATTTTTGAGAAAACTTTTCCATTTAGTTATAGTAAAATATCACGTATTTTGACCAACATGAACATTTTAAATACAGGTGTATACTTGAGAATAAATTTTGAAGCAATTTTATATATTTTGGATTAAAATATGCCCTTGCAATTTTATTAACGTAACGAAGTTCGAAAATCTTTATATAGGGGTTTACAACGATCATTACAAAAGTAGACTGATAGGGACAGCAAACGACGCTACATTTCTTCCCGCTCTTTCAGCATGGAAAGATATACGATCCAACAATGAGTCGAAATTATGAAAATTTAGTTTCGAAATTCGTAGTCACTGGTCTCAATTTTAAGAATTTGTATCTCTGGCGTATTTAGTTATAAGTAGTTTTTACCAGTACCGTTGTATGGAGAGTGGTCGAGGCTATAATCGGAGTTCATCCATTTTCAACCTATCGGTAAAAGTTCTTATAATATTTGGTTGTTGTAGCTTAAGTGTTTTTGGAGTTAAGTACACTAAACTTATTAGAAAACGGTGCCACGCCCACTTTTTAATTTTTTGTTTGCCCTTTTCCGTTAGCCTGTGCCAAATTAGAGATCTATATCTTAATTTTGTGCGTGGTTATGGGTCTGAATACGTTTTCGGCTAATAGAATTTTGTGGGCGTGGCATTGGTTCGATTGCGCCCATTTACGAACTCATCATTTCTATTTTACCAAGTTACATATGTATCAAGTTTCATCAAATATTTACATTTTTACTCAAGTTACAGCTAGCACGGATGGTCGGATGGACAGACAGCCACCCGAATTTTAACTCGTTTCGTAATTCCGATCATTTATAAATTGTATATGTATAATACATAACCCCCCATCGTTAGGTGAACAATACTATTATACTCTGTACCAACAGGTTACAAGAGCAAAAATACGATTGCGAAAGCAAAAGCAAAATATAGTTGGAATGCTGAAATCATTAAGCATGAGCAAAGCAAACGGTACATCAGTAGGGCGGCATAAGGCGCCATTGTTAGCTGACGACCCCGATTGAGGTGAAATGAAATTGATTTTAATTTCAATAAAGCGATTTTCGTTGCATAAACCAAAGGGTCGATTGCAAGGAATTTGAAGGAAAATGTCAGCATGAATTACATACACACATATGTACATACCGCACTATGTGAAGGCATGAATACTTAATGGGCACATTCCAGGTTAGTCAAGCGCATAAAAAAGGTTAAAATGGCTGACGAAAAAGGGATAATGTCAGCTTGATAACAAATAAGTGGCCTGTGAGTATGCGATTTGAGGCCCAGGTATGCAAAGAAATTAATTTTGCATTAACAGGATAACAATACTTAATCGGGGCCAAAATTTATGTATATATATATACATATATATGGCATAATTTACATACATATACGAATACATATGTATGTAAAACACATAAATTAAGATGCTATTATTATAGGCTATAGTAGTTCGAGGCTCCGACAAGTGAGCAGCTGCCTGAAGGGAAGATCTATATCTAAAAAACTGTGGAACTGAGGACCGACAGTAGGATATTGCTAAATCGACGCAGCTCGTCAAGCTAATCATTTATGTATGTATTTTATAGTGTATTTGAAGGTTTCTTTAAGGTGTTACAAACTTCGTGGCAAATTTAATATACCTACCCTATTCAGGGTGTGAATATTATTTAGGGCTCGAGCAAGCAGTTATAGAAAGCTAGGGTCGCCTATTACTCGATTCAGAACTCGAGGTAGATATTAGTGCGAATATACTGAATGAAGCTGATTTCTTTAGAGACGCCAGTCTTCGTATCAATTTTATCCTTGTTTAAAGGGCCCATGAAAATATGATAAGAACTATTACTTCTTTTTATATTGTCAAATTTGTGTAGAGACTTCACTTACCACATCGGCAACATGCATAACCATGGTAGGGTAATCGCCAATTGCAGATTCCGCCAGTCTCGAACAAAATATGCTATGACAGCCATGAGTATATACGAAATCGGAACTGGCAAAATATTTAAAATGCCCGTTATGGTACGCCATTTACCAGAAACCAACTCAACGACGAGAACGAAGCTAACCACAGTCACTGTCATGGAGGCAAAACCGGCAAACACACGCATCGACATGAACATAGCCAAATTGGCGGAGTAAGCAATTAAAGTGCCTGTAACGAAGAAAAAATGTCTCATTTTAAAATCTTCCAACGAAAATTCCATAAGCTGTAGTTACCGGAAACAATTTGTACCACAACGAAACCCATCAGCGTATGCTTGCGACCGAAACGATCGGAGATCCAGCCGCTCGACACACTGCCCACCGCTGCGCCAGCCAAGAAGCACATTTCCACCACACTCACCATGTGCTCACGACCGCAAACCAAGCCGAACACCTCAATTATCGAGTGTGCGCTACCATCTTCACGGGAGAATTCAAAATTGCTGCATTTTATTAGTTGCGCGGTTTCAGCTGTGCCAGCGGTGCCAACGGTTTCAGGTAGCAGCGAGTAATTTAAATTTAGTATAGAGCAAGCGCCAGTAGGTTGGCTTAGATTGCGCCACAGCGATACATCCATATCGGGTGCGGTATCAGGGCGTGCACACCAGTAGTCCTTGGCGATGGTCTAGTTGGTGATATATTTAAATAAGCGGTAATTTTAGTTTTTTATAAGTAAGTAAATAATTGTCAAAGATATTTATATAAATACTATTATTAGTCTATATCATGGTGTTGCCACTGCTACAATTTATTTAAATATAAGTGCAGTTTCATAGACGCCAATAAATCTATGGCTTTTCACGGACTACCGGTGCGGATATGTGTGAGAATTTCTGGCACAAACAATAGAAAATTATTCATAATTACGAGGGTTGTTTCAGATGTCAAGTCGGCTGTTAAGTGTTGGTGCTGTACCATAAGAAGTTCTAATTTATATGGTAAATATACTTTTCTAAAATAAACCTGACAGAAAATCTCCGAAAGAAACTTTTTAAAGGTATATGTATGTATATTAGTTTGTGGTTCTTTTCCAATTAGAACTCTTTGAGAGACACAACGAAGAGCTTTGTGCTGTTAAAAAACTCCTAAAGATGCGAAATAAATTACTTAGATAATATACCGACCAATAGTATTAAGTGGAGGATGAAGTAATGTGTTCACTCAAGCGAAGGAAAGTTCTCTGAGCGCCATTCACATGGGAGCATCCAGAATAAATTCTTGTATACGAGTATATGGCTCAACCAAGTCACGATTTCCGGTCTTAAACCAGGTATCCTCTGGGAATTGAAATAATAAGGCGACCAATCCCTCTACCGTAGATGGGACCTAGGTTTCGGACCCGCCACGTAAAAAATGCTCCTAGTGAAAAAGAAACAAGCCTCGGATAAGAGACCCTTCCTTTGAAGACGACCACGGTTCTACAGTGGCCATATAAAGCATTGAAAATTCGGTGTGGTATTCGTGGTGGGAGACAGACTCCGCCGGCGAGTCCTGGCATTTACCCTGGTGGATGAACGTTTTGTGCAATCAGCATCAAAGAAAAGTTCTTCAACACTTCGCTGATTTGCGCCCACACCCCGACAGAAGAAAAGAGCGATGTGAACAAGGATGCCATCTAATATCGTGCTTGGCGACTTTAAGGCCAGGGTGGGCAAGGAAGGTATTTTTGACACTACGGTCGGTAAATTCAGAGTCCATGAGCAAACATCCTCAAATGGCTTGAGGTTGATCGATTTCGCCTCGTTTCGAAATACGGTTATCTGTGGTACTAGATTCCAGCAGTCGGATTAGATTCCACCAACCAGATCGATCATGTTGTGATAGACGGAACACACGTTTCCATTGTTTTAGACGCGCATACGCACCGAGGTCCTAACATCGACTCGGACCAGTAACTTGTTGCAGCCAAGGATCGCACCCGCCTCTGTGCAGCAAAAGAGGTTCGACACAAGGAAGAAGTCTCGACATCAAGAAGTTGCAATCACAACAGGTAGACGAACGATTTCTACTCGACTTGCACTCCCGCTCTCTGAAAGTACTCGTCAGCAACTCGGTATAAGGGAACTCGGTATAAGGGGATTTTTAAAGCTTTCTTTGAGCCTATAACAAATTTGTTAAGATGGCTAATGTCAGTTTTTGATATGATTTCTGGTTCGCTGAAGCTAAGAGAGCGGTAATGTTTCATTCTCAATGGAGGTGAAATGGCCGTGAAATTTCCACTACACTCGCATCCATACAACTTTGACAGCTTGCGTACGATTTTTACCTATGATTCTTGACGTACTCCTACTATTGCGAGAAGATGAACTAAAGCTACTTAGTGCACAAAAATATATTTCGGGTAGACAGATTTTGTTTTGTATTATCAACTTAACAGACAAGCGACTAGGTTTCTTGTAACAATTTTTTATTCTTTGTTGACTATCGTGAAATCATGTCCGATATCTCATATTGAATCGTCCGTTTTCCACAGTCGATAGTTGTATCACACTCAAGGCTTTCTAAATTTTATTGAGCTTTTGCAATCCGAATTCTTTACAATGCAATGTCATCCCAGTCTTCAACTACTAGTTCAATTCAGTTTGAAGGAGTATTATTTTCATAAAAATTACTTTTCTTTAGAAAATATAGATTTAATGGTTTTATCCGGTCATCCTCGTGTAATGAGACATATATATAAGTACGTACAATTATATCATAACCTGCCATAAATTTTAAAATTTTACAAACACAAGTCGACCAGCTGTATGGAAATTTCAGTAACAATACGTTGACGTACTCTAAAAAAATTCATTCAGTCAAAGTATGACAAACACTTTACGTGCACTTAGGTAGGCAACTAAGTCTGTTGCTAATTTTATGCAAGGTATTGCTAATATATATAATAATGAATATATTTAAAGCTGTTTGATATAAAATTAAAACAAAATCACAAGTGTACTCGAAAATGGCATGAACGTGACCCGTTGAGCGCAATAGGTATTCGCAATTAGTTTAGCATAGATAAATATACAAATAAATTCACTTAATTAACAAAAACCAACACCAATTTTCCCAGCTGACATTGACATTTCGCACTGTAGTGCAGCGTGAGTGGCGGTACATAGCGCTAACATCGATTTAACAGCGCTGTAGAAGCAGCTCATACTTGCCGTAAACGGTTTTATCTGATTTCGGTTGTTCGTGTAAACAAAACAGTTTGTGATGAAGGAGGGAAATTCAGAGTGCAAAGCGGTATTCTACTCTGATATGAGTAATAAAGTTTTGCTGGAAGAATTTGTTCTCAAGGAAAACTGCTGATGAGCTTCCGAGATAAGTAGTATTAGAATAATGAAGTGTAGCAGATTGAAGAAGTGAGAATATATGGTAATGGATGGATGGATTTGTGAGTATTCCTTAATATTTTTGTAGGAAAAGTAATTATTATAGTTAGATCATTAGAATTTACTAGATTTTATTAATTAATATGGGAAAATTATTTTCTTCCGCTAAACAAATGATGTAAAAAATAAAGCAACTCCGGTAGGCATAATCTTTATAATTAAACTTGGAATTAGTTAATTTTTTTATAACTAAATTTGTTAAACATAAAAACATGTATTATAGATTATTTTGCTTATTAGAAGCGAAAAGAGGAATTTATTGGTTTCTGAGCTGATGTAGAACTTGGACGAAGGAAAAACATAAATTAAAATTTTGATTTTTGGCAGACATTTTTACAAATAAATGAAAATTTAAGTGAAAATTTCGCGACATTTATTTTTCAAATAGTTGTAATCGGAAAAAAATCCTTCATCGAAGTCTTAAAGAATTGTATCTCAAAGACCTGTGTAAAGTTTCAAGAAGAGTGGTTTAGTAGTTCTCAAGAAATCTTGTCAACCGACTTCGAAAACAAGAAAGCCGAACTTATTTTTCAAGAATATAATTCTGACCATCCAAACTTAATGAAAGTCCGTTGCGATACCTGAAATTTATTTATTTTTCAGTATCTTGACTTGTGCTGGCGTAAATATTTCAAATACAGATCATGCTTTTGATATGTGGCACTTCAATTCTTATCCGCTGTATCGCGCGACAATGGGATTAACGAGATTCCATAATATTTGGCGTTTATTAAGATTCGACGACAGTAATACTCGAAATCACCGTAAAAAATAAGACAGCTCCAATTCGCGAGGTGTGATGAACAGCTTTATCCATACTGTGGCCGTACTGGATTTACTCAATTGTATATACCGTCGAAACCAGCTAAGTATGGTATAAAGATCTGGTATATTTGTAATGCAAAAAACACGTAGTTAGTGGTAGAAACATCTGCACGGATAACTTCTTTACTCTCTACCCTGTTGCTATACATTTGTTATCGTGGAATATTACCATTGTTGGCACTGTAAAACAATAAACCTTCCATCCCTAGTGTTATGGCAGCAAATAAGATACTCGCGTATCTTCGTATTCGACAGTTTTTGGATTTCACGAAAAAGTTATCATGGGCTCCTACGGCCCTAAAAAAGAAGCTTGTCATTCTGTTATCGACAATGCATTCAGATGCATCAGTTGGTGATGACGCTAAACAAAAACCAAAAATTATAAATTTTTATAAGCTGGCGTTGACACAATGCTCCACTGATACACAAGTCCATGACGATTTTCGAGATGGCCAATGGCAATGCTCTTCAATATGCTAGACATTTCATATATAATTTATTATGAAAATAATAAAATGTTTGAAGTGAAGAGTGAAGAATTAGCATTGCCGATGATTTAACCACAAACCGCGAATTCAGAAGGTTTAAATGACAGATGGTACGTGAGCACTGTCGTGGCGGAGTGGAGAGAAAGCTGATAGTCTACCTCACAATGTTGCGATCGACCACAACAGATAACGAGAGTTGAAGAGGGAAGTGAGACGCATTTGCAGATAGAAAAAGAGAGAGACCGATATGCGTGATGTGAAGAGCTTGAGAAGCTAGCCGATATGTATAATGTTCGAAAATTTCCACGAAAAGATGCGACGACTAATGGAAGCTTTCAGTGCCGGAGCATACTCTTGTTGGACTCAAAGTTGTCATCTAGGGACTGATGTTCAGAGCATGCTGAAGTTATGGGGGGAACACTTCTACAGTTGCTGAATGGCAGTGAAGGTGTAACATTAGGAGTTGACGAACCAGATTCCCCAATTGATGCCGATGGAATAGATGTACCATTACTCTACTGTGATGAGGTTCAAATAGCAATTACCCAACTAGATAAGGAAGCGCAGCATATGGGTCTTGTTGTGGCGAGGACAAGACGAAATATCTCCTTTCATCAAACAGTCATCGCACTCGCGACTTGGCTCGCAGTCACTATTGACAGTTATAGCTTCGAAGTCGTAGATAATTTCGTCTATCTTAGAGCACAACACCAACAACAATATCAACTTTGAAATCCTACGCATAATCACTCTTGTGAACAGGTGCTACTTTGGACTGAGGAGGCAATTGAAAAAACTCTGCACTGAAACAAATTTTTTTTTTTAACTTCTTAACATATTTGGGATTGCTACGCATATCATTAGTCAAGTTGATATGAAAAATATTTAAATCGATTGAGAAATGATATTGTTTATGTAAATATTTTCATTGCCCTGCTTACTACAATTACAATTAACCTCCATAAGGCGACTACAACTAGACTTACACGAATTTGTTTGCGATTAAACTTTAACTGGAGTGTGTAACCAAACTAGACACTCAAATTCATATTTATGCTTATGAGGTAATTGAATCCACACACGCATATCCGTCCCAACTGACTGGAAGTGGAGAAATACCAGTTCAAAGTCAAAGCGAAAAGCCAAGCGCACTAACTAACGCAACCAAATACAAAGTGAGCGAAAAACAACCAAACAAAAAAGCTTAAAAGCAGTATGAATTAGCAATAAACCGCTTTACAGCCATGACCATTGCAAACGGGCAACGCCATTGGGTCTAACGGACAACTTTTACTCGCTTTTGCAAAAACAACAACGACAAAAACACACTTTCATTTCGCGCAACCGCGATGAGTTTGCCGTTAACACTAACTTGAACTTGAAAATGCTTCCGAAAAAACAACATGTAAGCATTAAATAGACTACAAAAACAAAAGAGGGATAAAAAAGAATGAAACCGCAATAAAAATTAAAAAAGCAACTACAACAAATTAAGATTACTTCATCACAATGAGTGATCGCCTGCTACTTGACACTAACGCGGATTACTCATACGCACTAGCTGACTTGCCTAACACGCAAACATAAGTACATATATTCTGTTGTCGTTTGTCTACAACAAAACGTAGTATTTAAAATAAAATAGTTTAAGCAAAAACACGTCTTTAATTGCGGTTAATAACCTGCTGACAGCGTAATTACAGCAACAACAAAATACATGACATTATCTTCTCAACTACGTAAATTTACAACGCTTGGCGTTCAGCTATTTTTTTTTTTGACTTCGCTTCATTAGTTGAATGATGAGTATTCACATATAAATCAAAGTGTGTAACAAGAACAAAAAAGCGGAGACAGTTGTCACAAAACTTGCCGGCAATGTGCTAAAAAGGTTTGAAACTTAAGTTTGATCGGTCATTTTGAATGGCAGCTATATATTGTAGTGGTCCGATTTGAAAAATTTGTTCTGAGATTAAATCGTTGTTTTGGAATATAATCTAGGTCGAATTTCGGGAAGATATCTTGTAAAATAAAAAAGTTTTCCATACAAGGACTTAATTTTGATCCATCAGTTCGTATGATAGCTATATGATATAGTCCTCCGAATTAAAAAATTTGTTCGGAGATAGTAGCGTTGTTTAGGAAAATAGTATATATAACATTTTGTGAAGATATCTTCTAAATTAAAAAGGTTTTCCATACAAGGACTTAATTTTGATCCATCAGTTTGTATGGCAGCTAAATTATACACTAGTCGCCTCTTGGCAAGTAAGCAGTTTCATTTGAGCTTACTGAACAGCCAGAAGTCACACGGAGCTAAATCAGGCAAATGCGGTGAAAATTAAAGGAGAATCATCGCCAGTAAGAATATGTTTCATGACATTGTGGTAGTCGGAAGGATTTGTTTTATAGCCGTTAACGCGACTCTGTTTCTCGATAAATTTACTGATATTGGAACCAATCATTCTTTCCTTTTTCTTCATCTCAAGTGATCTTTCAATATTCCAACAATGACAGTAAGATCTCCGATAGTTAATCGTCGATTTTCAAGCACCAGTATTTTATTGGCCTGTTGAACATCAGTTGATGTTGATGGCCGTTCTGGACGTGGTTCATCTTTAAATAATTTGTACCAATCAAAAACACTTGCTTGCGAACAACTATCACCGAAGACCTTTTCGAACATTTTGAAAACATCGGCAATTGAATTGAGCTTCTTTGTTGAATAATTTCACTCAATGTAAAAATCGGCGAATGATCTGTATACTTCAGAACGAGAAGCGTATACTAAACACTAATGATTATTTTGTTGTGACTTCTAGCACAGATGTCACTGACAGTCATACCAACATAGACAAAAAATATTTCGACGAATGAGTTTTCGCGTGAAATTTAAATTAAAAGGTTTTCTCATAGATGTTTGCCACCTTCAACACATTATAGCTAATTTATTTTCTAATTTCGTTTTTGAGTGCTTTAAGACTGCAATCGTTGTTGAGACAATAATTTTATTACCATTCATTACTATCATATTCACGTGTTTAAAGCGTTTTAATTGGTTTTTGGAAATTTTTTATTAGGTCAAACCTTTTACTTACTTCATTGGGGATTTACAAAAAGAAAAAAAGGGTGAAATGACGGCAAACGTCGTTATATACATATATATATGTATGAGTAGTGGTATTTATTGCTTTGAGTAAACCGAACTGTAAAAAAACTTTTTTAGAATTTTTTTAGAAACGTTTTTAAAAAAGAAATACTTTTATGAGCCACCTGTGCTGAGGTATTGGATATCGCCGAAAAATCTTCTTTTTTTGAATTTTTGAGTTTTTTATGCTACTTTTGTGGTTTTTGGTAATTTCGTTTAATGTTATTCTTCATTTGAGTTTTTCTCTCTGGTTGCCATGGCATGGTTTTTCGTATATTTACATAAACTTTGTGGCTTGGGTGTTAATTAGTTATTTTCCAACATGTTTTTCAACATTTAATGAGTGTTGGTAAACCTTCAAAAAAGTTCTGAATGGGTACACATTAATGACTATTTGCATTTTCATAATTTTTTGTAACTGATATTTTCTAAAAAAGTTTTGCTTCTTTGATGGCAAACACTGGACTGCATTTACAACTTTTTCTATACCCAAAGAGAGCATTGACGGAGTTGAAACCTATTTTGAAGGGTTTATATAGAATAGGTTTTTATTACTCAAAAGTGCTTTCTCAGAACGTTAGTTTTATATAATATGTGGGTGGTGACTTAAGCAATAAAAACTTTAGTATTTATTTAACGGTATATTTGAGAAAAATCTACTCTCAGTTTTTTTCAAATTAAAAGTTTCAAGTTAAAATTTTTTTTAGATTCAATGTTATTTAAAACAAACTAGCATAACTAGCTTTTAAATTTTATTAAGATTGCTACATTAGGGTGGGACATACATACATATATGCACGATATACCGAGCCTTATTGGCATTATAAGAAGAAATAAATAAGAATGCAACTCTTGGTGTGCTCATTAATAGCTTTAAGTAAAGTTATTTAGAGTTTTTGAAAAATATATTTTTTAGATCCACCCTAATCAGTGAGACAGTGACAATAGTTGTTTTAATTTTAAAGCTTATGAAAAAGTATAACAAAAATTATTACAGTTTCTATGAGTTTTGAAATTGTATTATTTTGAAAAATAAAAATTTGGAATGGTTGCCATCTTATTATAATCATAAATAATTAAAAATAATTCTTAATTTCATATTAAAAGAAATTTGTCAAAAATGTGCACTATAGTTTTAGTAGAGAATTTAACATGTAATCTTAGCTGGAATATGTTTGCCATATTCATTATAATTCAACTACAATTATAATATTAAAATGTGAAATTGGTTTACTTAAAATTGATTACATTTTCGGAAATGTTGTAAAAGACTTCAATGATTCTTGTTGGGAATGTGTTAAATAATTTGATAATGTAAGAAGATTCTTCTTTACTTTAAGAGCCATACTGTAATATGCAATTTACCTTATGGAATATACATTTTTAAGCAGGTGACATCAAATCTCAACCTTATTAAGTCACTTAGTTTTTATGATAATTATAAATGTTTTTGAAAAATTTTTATGGTGCGGTAAAAATTTCAAATAAGGTGGTAATTGTTCCGAAAATTTTTAAAATCTCTTCATAGTGTAGTAAGATTTTTGAATAAGGTGGCAACCCTCTAAAAAATATTTTTATTTTAATTATTCAGTTTGTTATTTTCGCATTATTTTATTTATCTAACCATTTTTTATTTCTCATATTCGAACAAATGGCAACCTTTTAATACATTTTTACACTAAAAGTAGCAATATTTCACTGAAAAATAAATAAGCCATCGATTCGCTTCGAAAAAAAAAACAAAAAAAGCAGATCGTGAAGTATTTTTGTTGCGTAAGACAATTTTATTACAAATATTTTATATTTCCTACGAATTTTAATCAGAAAAAATTCGAATTAGGTGGCAACCCTGTCGCAAAAGTTTCAGCTTTGCAATTTGCTTTACCTCTTCAGTTTGCCATTTTCTTCATTATTTAAACATTTTTTAATTTTAATATTCGAATATATGGCAACCTTATATTTTTAAGCTAAGGGTTTTTTACCAAAAAATAAAAATTTTACATAATTCGGTGCAAATTTAAAAAGAAAGATCAAAGCAAAAAGATCGTGACGGATTTTCGTTGCGTCACACAATTTCGTTGCAACCGTTTAATTTGGCAGAAAACAAAAAAAAAATATTTTGTTAATCACTTCACAAGTTTAATTTAATATTTGTTCAATTAAAAATTATTTATCATCACCCTAGTGCTCCGCTTGAGTGCAGTTTTACATTTAATGTACATATATTGTATGTATCAATGCATTTGCCACGCTGAATTATTTATTTGAAGTGTTAGAATTTCAACTGCAGCTCGTGCAAATTCGCGCACATTAACAAAATATGTTTTAAACAAATATTTACCAAAAATGCAAACACATAATAAAACAATCACTACATGCAATTTATGCAATTCAATCAAAGCCAATATTTACACAACACCTAAAGAGATTTTTATTTATTTATTATTATTATTATTTTTTGTTTAATAAAAAATCGAAAATTAATGTAATGGCGTTACGTCACGCACTCTGGCCAGCAAATGCTCTCATATTTTTAATATATTATGAAATTCACTCACTTGAAAGACGAAGCAGAAAATGTGCATTGTGGAGGCACCTTGGAAGGCGGACAGCAAGCAGCACCAAAACGCCTGCCAGCGACCGTTTTCACCGAACATGCGCGCCAACGCCTCACCTTGCAGCCGCTCCAGTGCGTCGTCGAAGTCCACACAACGCTCATCCTGCTGCTGCTGTTGTGCCGATACTATTGCGACTTTCGGTTGCGTAAGTTGTTGCGTGGCTTTTGGCTCACCGCATGCCACCGCCAAGCCAACGCCCAAGAAGGCCACGCGCTCCTCGTCGCCAAGCGCTGACATTTTTGACTTTTTGTCTGATATTTTTGTGGTTTTGTCTTGCAATTTGTGCACTGTGGTGTGTTGATCGCAGAAAATGTCGCGAATGCGCAGTTACAGTCGAAGAAACCGTTACCAAATGATTCTTAGAGATGTAGACAACTGTGCTCTGGGTGGCAATTGCGAAATGTTGCAACTGCATTTCATAGCAAAATTTTTGAAATGAATATTTGTATGGGTTACATAGCTACAGATACATATACAAAGTATGTAGGTATATGCATATATATACATATTTATACATATATACAGCTGAATGTATGTATGTGTGCAATTTATTAGGCAGCAATTGTACAATCACTTTTTCGTAATTAAACATAAAGCAATTGCAACATTGGCAACAACAACAGTAATAGTAAAAACTACAATAGCAACAACAACAAGTACCATAATCACATGCAACAGTAATGAAAATAATGGAAAAGTAAACAATAGCAACAAATTAACAAGTACAATAAAATTGCAGCATTTAATATAAGTACTTCAACACCTGGCCTGACTACAACAAAAAACTCAATAAGCATTAACAAAAAACTGAAATACAACAACTACTCAGAGTGCAGCGCTGCACTGCTGCGTTTATAGAAAAAAATACTATCTCCCTGCCACGACTGTGTGTAATACACAGCACACACACATCCAAGTATGTATATATATATGAATGTATCCGTTTCGCTGCCACAGCATCACAAATCGGTGTATGAGTGTGTAGTTCTAACATCTCATATTCTAGTTCCATTTATTTCTATGTGTAAGTTAAGCTGTGAGTTCATTCATAATTGTTGTTGTATTTTTTTAAAATAATTTTTTTATAATTTAATTTGTGGCGAAAAAACTTAACGTTATTAATTTTCATTAGCGCATATATAAATAACTGTTTTTGCCTTTCATGTTTTTTTCTGCATCGAGTCTCGGTCTCAGACAAGTTTCTACGCGTCATAGAGCACTTATCTTATGCCCGGCGGTCACTAATATTGTACATATATAATATTTTATGCACAGAGCTGCATTAGTCACGTCACGTGAGTGCACTGGAAAAAATTAGCTTTAAATTTTATGATATTAAAAAAAAAAAAAAACAATTAAAAATTCCGGTCTCACTGAGGCTATAATACTCTGTTCATGTGCTTTTCTTTTATATTGGGTTGTTCGCTAAGTAGTTTTGTGTTTGAGTGTAATTTTTTTTATTGTATAAAATATCTTATGAAATTAACTATTCTTCATTTTCGCCATCTTTCGGGCGAGAGATTGATTCCACGTGCACAAAATTTTTGATCTTTACAGGCAAAAACTAGTCCAAGTAGTCTTTAACGTCCTGATTTGAGGTGAAGCTTCTCTCATACAAAAAATTTTGTAGAGACTGAACAAGTAACAGTTCGAAGATGCCAAGATTGGAAAATATGGTGGGTGTGGTAGCACATCCCTTTAAAGCTAAAAAAGATTTGGCGAGTCATCATCATCAATGAGATCTCGCGATATCCTGGTGAAACACTACAGACTACACTAATTCTGGCCTCTTCTGTTTGAGTGCATCGAACAATTTGGCGCAATTAATTGTGGTATTGTTGAGCAAAAGTTCAAATGGCATACCATCACACAGACAACACATTTTTTTGGTGAATATCAGCCTTCGAAGTGGTTGAACTGGTAGATCTTTTGCAGACCTTATATGCATGCAATCCAATTTTCGTCGCCGATAACAATGCGATTCAAAAATAGATCACTCTTTAACGGTTGATAGGCAAATCACATTCTTTACCGCGACAAAGCAAATTTCGGTCTGTAAGAACATGAAGTATCCATATGCGAAGCTTTGAAATTAAATTTATGCATTTGACGTATAGTACGCTATCAGCAACGACAATGGAATAGACGTTCCATTGTCCAATCATGATGATGTTCCAAAAGCAATCACCCATCTGCAGAACAACAAAGCGGCAGGGGCCGATGTATAACCGGCCAAGCTATTCAAAAATGACGGACGGAAGCATGCCCGATGGTTGGAACCTAAATGTGTTCACAAATGGGAGAATCCACAATTTTCTACAATTACCACCTCCTTAATGGGACATATATACCCTCTTATAGAGCGTAGGGTGTGAAAGACTGAAGAACCACCATCAACAAACTGAGAACCTTATTAGTGTGGTATCAATCCTGCAAAATCTCCATACAACAAGATTTTCAACAATGCGCCAAATCTTGGACAAGTCCCGATAATGGAAGCCTTTGTCAGCTCGAAAAGGAACTACCTCTATGCCGCTATGTCTGTACTTAGTATCCCCGCAAAACTTATAAGGCTGTCAAAGCTGACATTGTGCAACACCGAAAGCTCCCTCAGTATCGTGAAGGACATCTCCGAGCCGTTCGATTCCAAGCAATGTTTCAGACAAGGAGACTCCATATCAAGGGGACTTCTGTTATGTGTTTCGAAATATTTCCTGTCATGAATCAATCAGTTAACGTATTCGCGTCTGGCTCGCTTGTCACCGTTGAAAGTTATAATTTTGAAGTGGTAGATAATTTCGCCTATCTTGGAACCAGCATCAACACCAACCAGGATATCAGCCTTAAAATTCAACACAGTATCACTTTTGCCAGCAGGTGCTACTTTTGACAGAGTAGGCAATTGAAAAGTAATGTCCTCTCTCGATAAACAAAACCAAACTCTACAAGCCAAGAGAACATTGCAGTTTTGAAGGTAAGGCAAAACCTCCACTTCGGTGGATAGACCAGGTGGAGAAAGAACTAGCTGGCCTTGGCATCTCGAATTGGCACCAAATAGCGGAAGGAGGAAACCACTGGCGATTATTTGTTAACTCGGCTATAACCGCGTAAGCGTTGTCTACGCCAGAAAAAATGAAGAAGAAGTTTATTATACTCTCGCAACAAAGTTGCTAAAGAGAGTATTATAGTTTTGATCACATAACGGTTGTTTGTAAGTCCTAAAACTAAAAGAGTCAGATATAGGGTTATATATACYAAAGTGATCAGGKTGACGAGTAGAGTTGAAATCCGGATGTCTGTCTGTCCGTCCGTCCGTGCAAAATGAAATTTGGCACAAGTATCACATTAGGGAGGGGCATATTTGGACGTAATTATTTTGGAAAGTGGGCGTGGCCCCGCCCCCTACTAACTTTTTTGTACATATCTCGAAAACTACTATAGCTATGTCAACCAAATTGTATAGAGTCGTTTCTTTTAGGCATTTCCATATACAGTTMAAAAATGGAAGAAATCGGATAATAACCACGCCCACCTACCATACAAAGGTTATGTTGAAAATCAYTAAAAGTGCGTTAACCGACTAACAAAAAACGTCAGAAACACTAAATTTTACGGAAGAAATGTCAGAAGGAAGCTGCATCCAGGCTTTTTTTTAAAATGAAAATGGGCGTGGCGTCGCCCACTTATGGACCAAAAACCATATCTCAGGAAGTACGCAACCGATTTCAATGGAATTCGGTATATAATATTTTCTTAACACCCTAATGACATGTACCAACCACGCCTGAAATCTCGATTATCACTTTACCATGCGAGAGTATAAAATGTTCGGTGACACCCGAACTTAGCTCTTCCTTACTTGTTTTTGAATAATATCATAACTTCGAAAGCTTCCCACGAAGAATCAATGCACTATGCGACAGTGGATTATCGTGGTGCAAAAATAAGGAGTTGTCGAACCATAATTCTGGCCCCTTTTTACGCACAGCTTCAGACAACCAACGCGTAACACTGAAATAATATTCCTTGTTGACAGCTAGGCCACTCAGAAGAAATTTGAAGTGCACCCCACCTCGATAACCGAATTAAACTGTCAACATAATCTTGATTTTTGACCTGCCATGCCGTGGTCGACTGATCGTCTCTTTTCGTCCAAAAGTATTTGGGTGAATGAGTTTTTGTGCGAAATTTAAATTAAAAAGTCGTCATAAGTATGTTTTGCCCAGTATACCTTATTCGCGAAGGACCTTTAACACCTACAAAGAATTGCTTTTGTGTTCTCAATCGATTGAAAGCAGTTACATGAATTTTCGAAACCAGAAGAACAAACTTGGGTCACTTGTAAAAAAAAGTTGGTTGCGCAGAGATTTTTATTTTTGTTCGGCTCAATTTTTTCCACTCACGGCTTTATTGAATTTTGAAAGATACTTTCTACTAATCATACAAAATGTTTCTGATTCTTTTACAATAGGTATTATTAGTTGGTATACTTTGTGGGAGAGTGTGCCTTAACTGTAAATTAAAATGTTGCATTGACCGAGAATAAATCCACTGTATAGTCTAAAGGTTACAATATTAAAACTAATAAAGAATAATTTTTACAATATTATTATAATTGCATAGTAATTTAGCGTAAAGCTATTGAAGTAGAGATAAGTAAAATGTAATAATGATAACCAGCAACAATAGAGAATAGAGAAGGAGGTATATACACCTACAAACACATTAATTTCCCAAGACGTGTATTTTTTTTAAATATTATATCTTTCTTTAGAATTTCATAGCTAAGCCCTTAATTGAAAAGTTGACACTTCTTTCGAAACTTCAATTTGTGGTTACGAACTGTTCCGCATAAAATTATAATAAGTTTATTAGTAGAAGTAATTCGAAATAGGTTTCAGTATTCTTATGAAATTAAATATGACGAAATTTTCACGTTCAGATGATTGACTCGCATAAAATCAATTAACGTGACTTGCTGGTTTCTTGTTTCCCGTCTTTAAAAATCCGGAACTAATAAGGTTAATCGTCATACAGTACTAGCAGGAAACCCATATACTTACTTAGTACTTATAACCTGGTTACAGACTATACATCCTGCACAGAAACGGGAACTGGAAGAAGTATTGTGCTGATTTCATCCAGTTTGACTAGAGAATACATTAATATTTCTTACATATTGACTGATATATGCGGTACACCGTTAACCATAAATCAGAAAATATATACTATATATTCGATTTTTATTATAAAAATAATTTTTGGGAATATTTATACTAAAAATTCGCTAAAAACAAATCAGCTAATAAGACGGTATATTGGTGTCTGGGTCCTTGAAAAGTTATAGTCCGCTTTAAAC